AGTGACTGACTGCAGACTAACTGAATGATTGGCATCTGACTGTAGATTAACTGACTGATTGACTGATTGCATACTAAACTATGACTGATTAAAATGACTGACTGATTGATTGACTAAATGTTTAACTTAAAGACTAAATGACTGATTGACTGACACAATCTACTATCTACATAACTAAATGCTTATATATTTTTTATTATGTACTTACAGAACGTGCGAGAAACATGCAGAGCATATGGAGAATCTCAACGAAGAGATGGAACAACAACTGTCGAAAATGGAGAGCAGAGTTAAGAAGGAGGAACAGAGCAAATTCGAGCGATCCAACATGGATGTTATATGGCAAATGGAGAATAAAAACAAGGAGATCCAAGCTTTACAAGCAAGAAATCAGAAGGTAAGTCTATGGATTAAACAGACGAGCACTAGCAYAGAAACTCGTACAGCGTTGCTCCCCACACTAAAAGCCCCTCTTAAATCRAAATCACCGATTTTCCGAGGCATTTTTGTTTGCGATTTCTCTGTTTTTGAACGCCAAACTATATCCTTCAACTCATCAAAGACAATATTGCAAAAATAATAACGATTTACCTGGTTAAAAAGAGGAAAATTTCAGCAAGGAGAGTTCTGTCAACCAAGCCACTGCAGAAATGTAAACGATCATTTCGTACGCCTTCTCTYATTGGTCTGTTTTGCTCCATCCATGTGATAGTACATAAAGTCTCATTGGCTAATATGAGTTCAAAGTGCAAACGCGCCAAAACATTGCGGGAAGAATTGTCAATCGCTAGCAGCAATTTTTATCGTTTTTTATAGCCAAATTTAACCCTTTATATTAATTTACCTGATAAATATATCTTTAATTTTAGTTGGAGTCGGTTTTGAAACGAAAAGAGCCTGAAGAGCARAAGTTAAAGGAAGAAATCGAAGAAAGAGTTCAGGTAATTCAGCCATCTTGGATTTGAAAATGTGATCATCGATCATCGATCTTTAATGAATGTTTTACATRGCCTGAGCATTTTTGTATATTCAGCATAAACCAATAATTATTCTAAGYAAAGTTTTCTGTGTCCAATTTCGCAGGAAATCCGATATTTACGAAGTCAAGTGACCGATTCACAGACGAATTCTGCGTTACTACGAAGCGAACTGGCACAGTTGAGAAATGATTACGAAGATCAAACGCAACAGCTTCAAAATGAAAAACGTGCTGTCATGGARTGTGTCCAAGAGCAAGAAAGCTTGACAAGGCAGCTACAACTTTTGCAGTAAGTGTGGGTTTCCTGTGGTGCAAGGAGGACTGGGACGGGAAGAAGAGGGAGGGTAAAAGCCCGCGCGAACCAATCGTGAAAATTTAGTTGTAACCAGTCTTGACGTCTAAGTGAAGTACAATTTCCATTCAATAAATGTATAATATAAATAATAATAATATGTCTCTCTTGCAGCGAGGCAAACAAGAAACTACACGATACAAATGACGATCTTCGATCGGCGCTCGAGTCAAGGCGAGGTTCCGATGCTGGGAGGAGTCCATCGCCCAGTAAAAGAAGCTCAATATCGACGCTATATTCAGCCTCTCCTAGACATAAGAGAAGCAAATCATATCAGGATAGGTAACAAACTAATAYAATCGTTCACTAACATATATCTCGCGATTTGTGAATCCACTTATAAACCTTATTTTTATACATATATTCTACAGTCGGTCGCCGTCGAGGTACGAGGAGGATCGACTGGCCCACTCGTTGAGTGCCACACCCCTTCGATCACCTCTCCATAGTACGACTGCAAGTAGAAGAAGCTCTCTCCTACCGATCCAACAAAGCGCTGAGATGGACGATCCAATTCTCAATGAAGACTCGCTCCTGAATGAAATAAGTGGTGTTAGTCGACACTCGGTAAGTTTGACTCGAAAAATAGCTGATTATTATTAGCACTTCATTAGCAGGTCGAGTCTTGTGAAAGAAGATAAAAGTCATAAAACGATTTAAATCTTAAAGATTTTAAACACCTTAAAGTTCTTCGATGAGTTATAATCTTCAAAGATAAATTCAGCGGAAATTTGAACCCCAAATCGAAAAGTATAACGATTCTTAAAATTCGATTTAGACGTCTAAATTTTATGTGTAGTGACATTTCAGTTTCTTTTAACAAGAATTTATGCATGTAACAATTAGTTGAATATCACCAGAAACTCATAGTTTCTCATATCACCTATAATGCGATGTCACTGCATGAGAATTTCGACGTCTAACTTTGATATCAACACACGTAAAGTTCGATGTCTAAACATATTGTTAAAAAATGCTAAACAACTAAAAATAACCCTGTATAGGATTCTGAAGAAAATGATCAGTCCGAAGACAATCGGTCTGAAACGGGCTCGGTCATAGAGCKTGACTACAAYAACAATGCWGGGATATTAAACAACAAAGAAACRGGTCGCATTCATCACTTGGTGCCTCCTGCACGYCARTCGTGCGAGGTTGAAGGAAAACAGGAGCCTGACCTTGTTGTAGACCCAGTCCTCGAGCGGTATAGAACAACGGTAGGGCTTGGGTTTTAGTTAGCTTAACTCGTGACCATAAAACGAAGACTTAAACCATAAAWYYWAAACTTAAACTGGGAAAATGTAAGCACTGTCGCAGTGAAATGTTATTTTGATTATACTGCTACAGAGCTTGCATTGGCATCTAAACTCAATAAAATTAAAATRAACTTTATAAAACAGAATGATGGTGAACAAACGAAAAACTTACAGACAAGTGAACCGAAAGACACCGAGTGCACCACGGAAACCSACAAAAAAACCGACAATGCGACGAAAACCGACAACACGAACAAAACCGACAACGCGACGAAAACGGACAGAAAATCCGACGGCTCAACGAAGATTAAAACGAGAAAACACGAAGGAGGGTCRAAAATGAAAAAGAAACACGATGGTGCGACGCAAACTGACCGACGAGCAGACGACACGATAGGTGTCGATAATCATTCGGAGGAAAACGAGAACAAAAGGGATGATAATTTTCCAAGAACGAAAACTGGTTCAACTCGAATAAGTACAAAACTTGGAAAATATCTTGGTAAATTCAAAACCACWTCAAAACAAGAAYTTAACTCAGAGAAAGAAACKCARGGACAAAAAATATCAAAAACTAGCAAAGACACACTTTCAAACGGYAAAATACCGAAGCAACAAGATGGACATAGTGAAAAAAGTAGTTTACGCAAAGGCGATACTACCAAAAGGACTAAAAACTCTTCGGTAACTTTCGCGCCAACRTCKAACAAACGRCCATCACGTGACAGGACACCAAGGGAATCCAATCGACGGTCACGTGATGTACCACGTGATAATCRACACACGGTACAAGACAGCGAGACATCGGACACTGAGTGCGGATTTACAAGACTTGACCTTACCAAACTGGTACGACGTAAAAACTATGACGTAATAACGACTTRATGACGTCATAAATATTTAAATTTTTAAAATTTTAAAACCAAATGATATCATCAAATTATAGCAGCCATGTTGGATGGCACAAACTATTAAATATTCTTACTTGAGGAAGTACACATTTTCTCATGGATCTCGTGTGTCATACATCATGGCTGTGTATTAGCGCAAAATCTTCCGCGCATTCAAAAGATGCTGATAACTTTAAAAACTTAACCTAAAATTCGTATAAATCAAACTAAACACTACTTGCTTGAACAGGACTAAATTGAATAAGGTGAAATCACAAAATTTCAATTTTTTYCAAACGATTCAATTCCAGAGCTGTCCTGATGGTACCGAGGAGGAAGAAGAAGACGAAGCTTACGGTACCCTCCCCTCAAGCGAACGAGACAGCATTCGTATGCATTACAACATGCTAGCCGAAACAAATAAACGGTTGCTTCAGAGCAATGACGATTTGAGAAAAGCACTCGAGATTGTGACTAAGGCGCGGGCGGCTGGTCATTCCAAACCAAGAAACAGAGAAAAATGCCGTAGAAATCAAAGCTTTCACAGTGACTATGGATCGATATCTAGTCGGAGTATCACACCTAACCAGTAAGTATGATCTATATCTAAAATCGATAACTTGTCGGAATATGCTCGTCGGATACTAATTCGTTTCTTTATCAATAGTTTACAAAAAACTGAAAATGATATTGGAGATGGCGCAGAAGAACTATCAGGCTATGAACCTGAATCTGATGGCAACAATACCAGCACAATGACGGTAAGATACTCGATCTTTATTGCTATTGGCTACATTAATGCTTGCACTCTAGCGCATGCACACTAAGCATTGAGTCACGAGGATGTCACGTGCACTTTACTCACTCAAAAGACTTGTAATGCTGAGCTATTTGAAGTACGAAACAGTATGCGTGCACATGTACATTCCCACTAAAAGATAAGATTAAACTTTCAATCAATCAATCAAAAGGTAAATTTAAAACAGTATCAAAGATTAAAGTGCTAATAAAGACAATCTAAAAGTGATAAATATTGGATTTTCAACGTTAAACATCACTCTAAACACATAAAACTTATTTAAAGTTCATCAGGGTTTTAAATGAACTTAAATATCTAAATTTGGAATAGAATTATCCCTTTCTACATTTGATAACACTTTATAAATGAGCTATAAATAAATGACTGAATGAATAAAAGGATGGCTGAGTGACAATGTATGTATCAAGAAAMGTTTGATGAAAAAATAAATGGTTGAATAAATAAATTAATAAATCAATGAATGAATGGACAAATGAATGAAAAATACTAATCCATTAAACAATGTAAACACTAACATTGCTATGACAACTAAACTAGCTCCAAGGCCAGCACGTGGAACTTCCAGAGAATGCCAGGAAAACCATGGCGACACCTCGTGAACGAATCAAGATCGCTGGACGCGAGACTGGTGACGTCATCTGGGAAAGTGACCAAGAAACCGAAACCGCTGACCCAAATGAGCAAAACAGACATCAAATTGCTGAAAGAAATAATGGCGAGAGTCCTTTTGCCAGAAATAGCCTCTTAAGAAAGCCAGTGAGGCATAAGAGTTTAGATGCATTAGCCTCTGAAATGGAAAGCAAGGCAAAGAAAGCCGACCGCTCGACATGGCCGGATATCGCGAGGTCGGGGAAATGGACCAGCATGGAACAAATGCGCAAGAAGAACGACTTTGCGGGGGCTAGGTCCAAGTCGCTGCCAACTTCGCGGTGTCAGAGCTCAGAGAGCTTGAATTTCGAAACWGGTGCTGGTTTAATGGAGCTCTCAGAGAAGCTCAACGCGCTGAAGTCAAGTCAGAATGATCTTAGGGCAGAGGAAGAGGAAGAGGTCGAAGAAGAGGACAAAGAACTTACGGTTAAAGCAACCCCACGCGAGAGCAAAGAGGTCGATTGCGAAGAAAAAGATGAARTATCCCCTCATGAAGAAAGAACATCCCCTCGAGAAAAGATATTGTCACCACCTAAAGAGAGACTCTCACCTCGAGAAGAGAAGTACTCGCCACAGCAAGAAAACAATAAAGAAAAAGAAGAAGAGAGAGTTAGTAAAACCCCACCAAATGAACTCAAAACTATTGAGGACTATGAAGAGTCACCGTCCAAGTCTACGAACACTGAAAGTCCTGAGCTTAAGTCTTTAGCCATCCAATGTCCCTCGGGACGTGGAACACCAACAGAAGACGAAAGGAAAGCACGAAGACAATCCAARAGGGACCGAAAAGGTAGAAAATCGAGATCTGAAGAAACGAAAGAAGATCCCAAATCGCGGARTGAGCCAGAAAGCAACTCGCGGAGTGAGTCAAAAAWCAACTCGCGGAGCAACTCAAGGGGTAACTCGCAGAGCAACTCTCGGACTAACTCGCGCGGTGCATCACGGAGATCGACGCGAACAGAATYTCCAAGAGACAGAAGCGTTACCCCRACAGAAATCCCGCGGGATAGAAGACCTTCATCCCGAAACTCGACCCGTGTAGAAACTCCTTTAAGTCGCGCACCGTCTACCAGACCCTACTCAAGAACAACTAACACAGGGACCCCAGTAGGAAAGAGCCCTCGACCTGGCTCTATTAGTAGAAAAGGAAGCAAAGGACCAGCAGATGTTTTAAGTCTGATTGCAGGAGAGCGACCTGGTAAGGATATCATACCTACAAACTACCGAGTTGAGGCCGATGGAGTCGAAAAACCWCGTGTTGTTCAACAAGAAGCTTCAGATCCAATGACTGATTTCCAAGGAGACCTTAACCGAAGCTTAGTAAATGACATCTTTGCACCTTTAAGCGAATCCCAGATGAATTTAAGACTAGGAAARGCTAGACCGCCCAAGCATGTGGGACGAGAAAAAGACGCGCATGCTCAGGATGAAGACTGCCAAGGGGATTTAGACCGTAGTATTGTCAATGACATATTTGCGCCATTGAGTCAATCACARAGGAATCTTAGACTTGGCAAGAACGATGACGCGCATGCTCATAATACCAGCAGAAGTCGTTTAAGACCTGGTGCTTTGGTAAATCGGGTTAGGGTGAGTAGCCTAAACACTAAACCAKCAAAAAATACTAAATCTAAACCAACTAAACCTTACTAAAATCTAAAATACTAAATTGTTTAAATTATTCATCGTTTGCAAATTAAAGGGACACTGTATGGGATGATATCCGCAGTAAACCTTAGTCAAACTGAAATACTGTAATGCGCCGCCATCTTGGATTTTTCAACTTATTTTTTCAGCTGACAAGCTCCTTCATATCTCTATAACCGATAAAATATAATTTATTGTAACAMATTTTCACTTCAGCAGACAGAATCACTACCAGATTCAGACCTTAGCAAAGTTGAACTCCTCAGCGCTGAACTTGAAGCACAGGTAATCTTCTCCAATTGCTGGCCATGACATTTCGAGGATGATAGTGATTGTCGTTTTACATTAATATGAAAAAGTATAAGGCGATTCCGCCTGCTATATTGATCTGTTTTTATTTGATGAAACACTAAGTATTTTTTCCTACAGTTTAAAAGTGTCAAAGAAGAAGACGAGGAAGACATYGACGAAGACGACGTTGATGACGAAGAACTTGCGCAACTCGTTGCCATGGCAAACGGTTTTACCGATTCCGAGACGGAAACTGAGAGTGAACTAGATGTGACAGACAGACAATCTGCTGTTGGGGCCGAGTCGCTGTCAGAGGCGTCGACAAATACACCTTATTCTAATGTAARTGTCAATCATGTTAATGACKCATGTCCAGAACTGGCYCTYAGTGTCCTTGTCCCTTGGGTAATGTCTCATGGGCATTTGGGATTCCTGGTTATTCCCTGCTTGTCCCTTATCCCTAGCTATACTCTCTTGTGTAAAGAGGGTCTTTCCCATCCCCTTGTCCCCAAGGGATTCCGACAAGGGACACCATGGGCAAGTTGTGAACATCACTCGTTAGTGATAGTTAACAAGTCGCTAATTCTATTGTTCTGTTTTGTGTATGTTGAAGTACTTCATCTTTATTTAGCTCRTTCTCCTGTTTCTATTTTCAACAGTCGATATCAATGACACAGGACATCCAACCTGAGCGCATGTTCAAGCTGGTTCTGGCTGGTGACGCTGCTGTTGGCAAATCAAGCTTTATTCTTAGACTTTGTCGAAACAAATTCCACAGTGCACTCAATTCAACTTTAGGTAAGGCTACATAGAAATGAAATGACGATGATGTTTATTAAAGATGATGTCAGTGAAGATGATGATAATGATGAGGGTAATAATGATGACGATGACGCATTCATGATAATGATGATAATGATGGAGGTAATAGTGATGATGATGACGACGTATTTATAATAGTGATGATAATTTTTTTCCGATTCGTACAGGTGTCGACTTCCAAATGAAGACTTTAGTCGTYGACAACAAACATATCGCTCTTCAACTATGGGATACTGCTGGCCAAGAAAGGTTTCGAAGTATYGCCAAATCGTATTTCCGCAAAGCTGACGGTGTTCTGTTGCTATATGACGTCACTTGTGAAACGTCATTCTTAGACGTTCGTGATTGGGTGGAAGCAATCGAGGTATTGACCAATCAYGKTAKCGACTTTTCTCAGAACTACGTTTCTTARATCATWTMTYAAWTTTTGTTGYAGGAGAGCTGTTCTAAGCCAGTTCCCATCATGTTGTGCGGTAATAAAACCGACTTACGACAGGCGCAGGTTGCCGAGGGGAAAACTGTCATATCTGCTGAAAGTGGACAAAGATTAGCAAAGGTTTGTGAATCCATTTGACAAAATGATCGCGTTTGATTTCAGTTGATGTCTAATTTTTCCATTCATTCTATTTTTTATTTCTCTTGTCCGTAGGAATACGGAGCGTTGTTTACGGAAACCAGTGCAAAGGAGAATTCAAACGTAACAGAAGCATGCATAGAACTAGCAAGGTAACGCATTTGATACAAAAACGTAGGCGCGAAAAGGAACGCGAAGAGTTTACACGCGCGGGCGCTTTCAAAAACATCACAGGCGCTCCCAGGCGTTTCGATATTCGTGAAAACGATAGGTCTAAAGGAAAATTACCATATACAGTTAAACACAGCCTCAAATTCTGYTGTTGTTCTTCCAGAATGCTTCAAACAATCGAAGATAATGAAATAACCAATCGCAACTCAGGAGGATTACAGCTTACAGATGCTGATGCCAAAGAAAAGAAAAAGAGCACTTGCTGTGTAAAATAGCTACAAATACAAATGCAATCGAATCTCCTGGAGGTGTTCAATGGTGGAATCAAAACGTTTCCCTAAAGTTYCTCACTCAATTCGCTTGGGCATTGCTATGGTTACGTGACTATAGTCTCTCCTATAGTGTTGCCATGGATACCACACAGATGTATACTCAATATGATCGTGGTGTATAACTATGGTTACTTAACAGGGTATGAAAAAGCCTGCTGGATCTTCACAATTGAAATAGCTTTTTTATTGAGGAGGAATGATTGAAAAGTGAATATAGAGGAGGAGTGAATTCCTAATGTATGCAAACATGATGTAGAAATGTTTTATATAAATACAGAAATCCAAAAAGATTTCTCTAAGAAAGCTTTTTAAAATATTAGAATTCACTGCAGATGTACAACAATATATATCAATTTTTTTTGTAAATAATCCATTTATACAGTATAGCAGAAGTTCACTGCTTTCTTAGTTGTTTTTTTATCTGAGAATTTTAGAAAAACATTTTACTGTGGGGAAAAATATTGGGAAACAAGATATGTTTATTGAATGGATGCRTCATTTTCMTTTCTTTTCCTTCGAATTACAAACTAATTTATGTACCATGCCATTATCRCTTTGGTAGTCAGATTTTTCATGTCTCATTTGCCACAAAAAGTGGTTGAGAACATTTTTTGTGAAATTTACAGCTAGTAATAAAATACATATACATGAAAAAATAAATAACTGAAATATGAAAAATAAGACCAGATGAATGAATGAACAAATGAATGAATGGATGTTCAAGTGAAAAAATGGACTCGGAGATGGATGGATAAATTAAAATATGAATTATTGGATGAATGAATGAATTAACAATGAATGAATGGGAAGATGCATGAATAGATGGGATAGATGAACAAAATGAAAATGAAAAAATAGATTAAGGAGAAAAACTGTGATATATGGAAAAATTTGTAAGTTAACAAATGATACTTGGATGTGGCAAGTCAGATATTGCAAAATATTGACTATCTTAAAGTGAAAATATAGGTATTTGATGCAATATTATATCACAATGTATTCAATGCACTTTATCATCGCAATACAGCAATATATTAGAGAGGGAAATAGTTAATATGATTGTAGATATAGTTATTATTTATGACAATCAAATTTATTTAACAATGGACACAAAATAATCCTCACTTTTATCTTTTAGTTTGATGAGATTTTTTCTTTTTAATATTTAATCATGCCGACTCATGTGTATGCATATTCGTATTGTACATGTGGAAACGGCATAATTTATGACAATATACAATATACACGATGGGGACTGATTGGTACATCTGTCATCCTGGCCATTGATTTTAAGTTTCAAAGTTTTTTCTTTTGCATTGGRACTTTTTTTTCTTTTGCATCGGATAATGATAAGAGGTTTCCATGTGACCTTATAATRCATGTTACCAAAATTAACATTATTTATTTGAGAATATGGACACCTCATTGCAAATGACTTGATGTATTGTTTACATACAGTAGTTTTTAACATACGCAAAATTAAGAAATATGATAATATGCATTTTGTTTAAAGAATGTAATGTTATAGAAACAAATAGAACAATAAAATAAAATAAAAAAAATACCATGTCTACCAACCCTTGAGTCATCAAGTTCTACCTTTATTCTGAAATTCCAAATACAGTTTATCATTCTCTCTAGCAATAAATGGCAAAGTCTTCTTTTTATAAAAATCTTTATCAATGTTCTCAATATTGTCAATAACATCTTGTAGAAGATGAGCTTTTCCTGCACTRGASCCTGGTGCRTCGAAYTTTAAATGTGTAAAATGTACATGGAAATGATAGTRTGATGGTTGGTAGTGAACATAGATTCTTARCTGGGATGATGGTATATCATATTTTGCATGGATTGCTTCCTGAAGATAGAAGAAAAAATAATAATTGAAACAAGCACAAAAATCAGTATTGCATTTCAATGATGGTATTTTACCATGATAATAATGATCAAGTGATGATTTTACCTTTCCTTTAGATAATATATTCTTTAACATYGGTAACAAACTTTCATCAAGATCTCTTATGGACTTAATGYCTCTYTTATGGCATATGGCCACGCAGTATAGATTGTCTAACTGCCGTTGATCCCACTTCATATCYGGAAGGAGAATAAAACCATCGTCTTTATCAKGGTCTTCAAATATGATTCTTTCAACTTCTGCTTTCTTGTCTAGAATATTGTAAACCCACTGAAACAAAGAAAATAAGATATTTTGATCATAGATTTGACAATAATTTTCAAAAAAAACGTTGTGAGACACAAAAATCATATCATCAAAGCTAAGTGCATATAGGATATTGGGAAGTCAGAAAGTTGAATCATATTTGCTTAAATATACATTATCAACATTTCTAATATATTAGACCATGTTTATTAAATGCAGACAGTGTTCAACAACTGAAACACTACAGCTTGGCAGCCTTCCCATGGTCCCTTTTCAGTCTCTGCTTTGATGATAAAAAAAAATTTCTGACCCACTTTTTTGTCAATTTGACATGTCAAGATACCTGAATACTAAACTGTTGAGCTTCCAAATAAGGTAAAGTTATTTTCCCATAATCCTCTGCTGTCTCATATACCATATAAGGCTGTTGTGATGTGTACTTATTGATATGTTTAGTRGTGGCAGGATAAATAACGGTGCATTTGACAGCATTGATATCTTGTGGTGGGTAACATATATACTGTTCGTAAATATCATTTCGCATATCGACAGACAGCTTGGTATCCGATGACAACACGTGTGGCAGGATGGCCTGCGTGAAGGGAGTCTTCTCTAGAAGAACAACTGCATCTTCATCACTGCCTGTGAACTTTCCTGGATGAAAAAACAAGTGACATACTGTAAAGTATGGAATTGACAAATATTACAAAAAAAACAGCCTATAATTGCAACTCAAAAATTGTCTTTCCTTTATTTTTAAATTTTTAAAGTAAAAAATGAATATTTCATAATYCGATACGTGCTCCCAGAGGTTTGATTTGTGCTTCGTGACAACCATAAAAAGACGAAAGCTTATATTATGGACATGATGAAGCTAAAATCGAACCTCTGGGACTAGAAGGCTACTAAGTTATATATAGCTTAAAGGCAATAAATTTGATGATCGATTTATAGCTCACCGTGAACGAAAATACTCTTCGAACTAGCATTTTCAGACAATGTTTTAGTAATCTCAAACCCCTTAAAGCTCTCAAGTCCATCTCCTTGTCCTTCTACCTTAGATTTCTTGCATGTCTCTACCTCATCTGAATCGAGAGCACGCTTCTTGTCCGCCATTTTTCAAAACCTGCCTCGCTTTCATGCGTACAATGCATCATGGGTAGAATTWTCCAGACAATGGAAATCTGTCTGGAAATGGAAGTCCAGTTGAACAGATAAGTGTGTTTCATTTATAATTTACTGGGCTTTGATATTTAAGAAAATAATTGAAAATGCAGAGAGCATTTTTGGCTCTTTTGCATTGACTCATATGGTAAAAAATCTGAATTTGTGGATGGAGAGTACATTGCATTGTTTTCAACTGTTTAAAAGGGTTTTAGTTCTGGATGGTACTGATTCTGTTGTTTCAGAGCAGGCAGCCCTCYTTGGAGATTCACACTGCACATGCTACAGTATTCCTTTAGATCCTGATTTATATTGAAATCACACTTATTATGACATCCAAGCAAGTGACAACACAAAATTCTTATTGTTCAACATTTTTTAATTGTGAATTAAAACTCAATTGATCTGCTAAAAAAGACTTTCAAGCGCATTCAAATGTACACGTGTTGGTCAATATCATATTCCTGCAAACTGCAGTAAGACTATTGGATCTGCAATATACCAAACACCAAGAAACAAATTCAAATAAATTGTTCCTTGGTATTTTTATCTCTTTAGTCAATGCACAAAATTTCCAATAATTCAAGACAATAATTGGCATAGGAATGTTAGGTAAAAATTGGTTTAATTAATTGAAACTTAAATAAGTATCATCTTCAAACCCTATTGCATTGTATGGCTTGCAATGATGGTGTCTGTAAATTTAGATGTATCTATCACTGCAAGCTCAACAGTTCCCTCACCTCGATGCAAGGCACCTTTCACAATATTAAGAATTAGGACATATTAACAACTGCAAAGAAGAAAATTCACATTTTGGAATATTGTGCAATGACATTGTTCCAATGTCTATGGACATTGTTCCAATGTCTATGTTTAGCTGAAAACTTACTTAGTATCATAAGCTGTCAGCGAACTTACAAAAATGTTCAACTTTTTACCACTGAACAGCCTCTTTCATTTTGTTTGCCTCTTCTTGAAAGATTTGTTAGTTTTTACACTTTGCTTTGCAGTTAAAATAATTCAATGTCAATATRTTAAAAGTTTCAGTTTTTGTTGTTTGTGCAAAGCCTAAGGGTARCAARCAAATAAAAGTGCATTTAACTAWTATGCCACAAACAACTAATGTCAAGTGGAGTAAAATRGAACCTCTTGAACTGGGTTATTTGTCTGATATGTCTGATAACTGACACCATTTTCTGTTAGAAATTATCATTCTTAAATCAAGAAATGTTTGATAGCTATTCACAAATTATTAACAGATTTCAAAGCAATTCTGTACAATGAAAACAAATTACTTGCTTACATTAATGAAGTAGTTTTGTAGCCTTCGAAAAATACCATGGCATGAATACTTTGGCTATGTGAAGTGGTTTTTAAAAGCTAGTGAAAACAATCTATTAAACATTATTATGTCTTTACAATGATTGACGATGTATTTTAATATGTTCCTTGATTAAAAATGTATATATTATTGTGTATATATATTAGTACATTTGTCTCACTAGTTTAAGAAAACCACTTGTTGATAGTTCAATAATTATTTCTGAYGATACCTCAGAAATAAACAAAACCACAGCTAAATATAGAAAAATAATGAGTGTTGGCTGTCATTAAAATTGCTGGGTTTCCTGTGGTACATTTCCATAGGATTCCCAACAACAGTAGTCAATGGATGTCAACAATTTGTTCAATTTCAAAATTTTAAAAATAAGACACGTTTAGACAGATCATTGACACTTCTCATCCATCCAAAGCTATGCAAAGCAAACAAGCTACATTCAAATTCTCCAAAACATGCTAAATGTACAAAGCCTCCATAATAGTTAATAGCCCTCTAAAAGTATTAAGCAATGGGAGTGAAAGAGAAAGAATTTCATGTTGATTTACATCAAATTATTATCGTAGCCTGCGTAGCGGCCCTAAGGGGATTGGGGAGGGCCGGCCGAGCGGGGAGTGGGGAGGAAAATAGTGCCGCTACGCAGGCTATATTATCGCAATCAATTCACCTGATCTGGTCTTGTCTCTGATAGCATAGTGTTTTATTAATYAAAGTCTCTTACAAATTAAGAAAAAAGTCTATTTTTAAGTTCCTGTATTTGGAGTGTAAACAAAATAACATAACTGAATTAATGTAGAATTATTAGTGCAATTGCTAGAATATTTTCAGAGGGCTACAATGCACAGCTATGTTATGTCTAAAATATATCTGTTTCAAGGTTTGTGGTTATTGCTTAACCAACTTAGTCCATCATAAAGTCCATCACCTCTAGTTGCACAAGATGGCTGAACATACCAATTTCTATCACGTATCTTTGTTAAGCCAAGTCTTTCTTGGACCTCGTGAGGTTTCATAGCTATAAGAATAACAGATGAAATTTTTAAAACTACTTTAATAGACCATAAATTGAAGGTATTTTGTCCCTATTCAAACACTGAACAATGATGAAGCTGTAGTTTATGCTAGTAAACTCAATTATCTGAGACTTTCAAAATGATTAATTCTGTACAGCTTTCACTGTTTGTTTTGACTTGAAAGATTGTGACCTTACATGTCAAGTACATTACTAAAGTCAATGACGGGAGAAAATGTTTACCACAATAAATCCAAAGATAACTCTTGAAACTCAAGTACACACTTATATATTATAAGAGGATGTGCAAGACATTCTCTTCGAGTGAAATGCTTGAGAAACAGTTGAGAAGTTCCCAGCAAACTTTCAATTTGTTATTACTGTATCATACCATCTGGTAAATCCTGTTTATTTGCAAAAACCAGAATAATTGCATCCTTCATTTCTCTATCACTGATTATTCTATTGAGTTCCTTCTTAGCTTCATCAATCCTGTCTCTGTCTGCGCAGTCTACCACGAAGATTAGACCTTGAGTCCCAGCAAAATAGTGCCGCCATAACGGCCGTATCTTATCTTGACCCCCTACATCCTGAAATGAATGCAAATGAAGTGGAGGAAAGTGAGAAATTGAGCAGACAAGGGAGGAAGGGAGAAAGAATAGAAAAAAGGAAGAAAGAAAGATAGAAACAGAGGGACAGGGAGAGATAGAGAAGGGAGAAGTGGTGAGATAATTCTAGGAAGAAAGGGGAAGGGAGGAAAATGGAAGAGAGGGAAAGGAAGGAAGGAGAGAAAAACAATGGGAATGGTAGCAAGGAGGAACTAAAAAATGGTGAAGAGGAAGAAAGAAGGAAGGAAGAGATTTAGGAAGACTTACTGAAGGRGAAAAGATTCGGAATAACAAACATGCTATAGCTATATGTACTCTCCAAAGTAATTACATAAGCCAACACTATTGTCCACAATGCCTACTTACCCATACATTAAATTTAACTTTGTGAAATGTGACTGTCTCTACATTAAACCCTACTGTTGGTATGGTTGTTACTGATTGACCTAATTTCATCTTATAAAGTATTGCTAATATACAATCAAGGTCAATTAACTACTGCTGAATAGAAAAACAATATATCAAACAAAAGAAACACTTGGAAAAGTGATAAGCAGGTTCTAGAGTTGACTTGAGTTATCACAAGTGTGTTTAAGTTATCAATAGTCTTCTTCATGGTTACCTGCACCATCTTGAAAGGTAGCTGTGCCTTTGCATTGAAGCAAATTGCAATGATAAATACCTGTAAATAATTGTCTGTAGGTGTGAAAGAAGGTTTTTATCATTGCACACTCAACGGTCGTCTCACTTCGATGTAAAGTCATGGCTACCTTTCAACATGGCGCAGGTAACAGTGAAGGAGACTATTATAACATGTAGACAAGACATAAAAATGTTCTCCAAGCACTCGGGTAATGCTTTAGCTATAATTCTCAATGAAACAAGCAAAATAAAGTAGTTCATAAAGTTTTCCTCAAAATAAGAATTCATTGTTTTCATGTGAAATTACACCAAATTAACTCTACAGTAGTTCATAAAGTTTTCCTCAAAATAAAAATTCATTGTTTTCATGTGAAATTACACAAATTAACTCTACATGTCAAATAAAACACCTTACATTTGAAATTGAGATATCACTTTTTGTGTGGCAGGTCACACTTGATATTTTTCATTTTGAAGCTTAGATATACTGAGTGCTTTGTTTATTTAAAGGATACTAGTTTTTCCTGAGGCATCTAGTCCTAACATAAGTATTCTCATCTCTTTATTGCCAAATATCTTGGATAGCAGCTTTCCCATATTTCACCTGTCTTCTTCAATTTTACCTGAAAAACAACCAGAAAATCTTATTAATAAACATAAAAATCAAACAAAATAATGTTCAAGAGCAGCTGGAAATTGCACTTAATAAACTGTACAAGTTTAAAAGAAGATAATTTACATCWCAACTTAACAAAAATAAACTAGCATGTCTAGACAATATTAATAATTATGTTAATAATGACCTAAATAATTGCTCCTGATGAAAACAGATAGCAACCACATAACATCAAAACAATTCAATACCATTCAACTTGAATTAAAATTCTAAAGGACCTAAAATTATAAGGAAAGGAAATTTACCATATCATATGTTATTTTATTTTTAGACATGACAATACATATTAAGTAGACATTCAAACCACAAATTAAAAATTGATAAAATGACAACCTTCATCTAATCTGAGAGTTTGGCAATAGATGAAGTCTACCTGTCAAATTTGACCAATGAAAAAACACTGGGAAATCTCTCTCTCAATTATAACATTGGTGCAATTAAACTAAGTTACCTAATAGCAGGAAGTCAGGRCTCAGTTTTTATACTGGGRAGTATTATTATCATGTTCAGACAAAACCAACAGCACTACTTGTGCCTATAATGAGCATGCTTGCTTGCATTCATAATTGGCACAATTGGCAGACAAAATGATGAATTACAAGTCAATTTTCTATAAAGCCATCATCATTAATAAGTCTACAGGTCTACAACATGACAAACGGTTACATGTAAAGAACTCAGAGCAAGAACTAAGTAGCCAAAMGATTGCTGTTGTGATTTTTAAAATAACCTTCACTTAGTAATTAGTGTGGGATATTCAAGACAGACTTTGTGACTAAAAATTTTAGAATAACAAAAGAATAAGGCTAAAGATGACATCTTTTTATAAAGGAACAATAGGATCTATTCTGAAAAAACCATCATAAGTATTTTGATTACTATTGTTGACCACAAGAAAGTTTAATATTTACATTTTTAGAATTGTAAGTGCGCAGACTCTGTGAATATTTCATACTTTATTTGATTTTGAATAAAACTTGAGGAACGCTCTATTTACCTCTTATATTCTTTCCTCGATTGAGATGATTAATAATAATAACATCAGAGATTGAGTTTTCTGAACCCAAGTGTAAACTATAAAAGTACAGTATGATTATGAATAATACCATCATCACAATTCATGAKTTTTCTATTTTTTCAAAAGTAAAATAAGTAATGTGCTTTGAACTTTAACCTCAAGCTGCTTGCTGCAACATTTTATAAAGCCACAATTATAAAAACATTTCATCTACAATAATATTAAACACTAAACTTATCACCCCTCTTGTCTTTGAGGCTATCAGAGTACTATTATCTGAGAATCATCCAAAGATGACAATGATGAATTCCTAAAATAAGTACATTATTTTTTTTTCAAAATTGGTCTATATGCAAATTTAAAAAATTGTAATGATTGTGGTTTTAAAATTACCATTATTATAATCTTATCATAGATCTTCATCAAACTTGAGAATTTCTGCTACAAGACTTGGACTATTGCGCAAAACTGTGCATGCAAACTATACGTTGACAGTATGTTAAAAATGATTTGTCAACAAGTCAATCAATTGCCACGACTAATAAAATATCACATGAAATAAACTGTAAATCCAAAAAAAGCGAAATTTTCAATTTTTTTAAATTATTTACAATAAACAAAATATTGTTATCAATCGAAGTTTAACTAAAATTTTGTATTTTAAAAGAGTAATAACATTACATGCAGCACTGCTAGCTCTCTATCTAATTAGTTACATTGTCTGATGTTTATTTTTTCTCAATAAGCCAAAAACTTTTCCTTTTGTGTCAAAGAAAATGCTAGATACACTTCAAATGTTTCTGTTTACAGTGTCTMGTGAAAGATTGCGAAAACAACTTGAGAAGCACATCAAGGATCATTTCGGAATCCAAAACCATAATATCAAAGATTGAATTCTATTCCAGACAATATTTATAATTTCTTAACTTGAGCATTAACTCTCAATAAATTTCCAAAACGATGCTTAGAGTAGCATATAAATATTTTAAGCACGTTTGTAAAAAGAGGTCTGCATAGTACGTCTACACTACACCGAAGCTCGCGATTTTTAACTACATAAACAACTTTGATCGCGGCCAAAACACTGAATCTTCTTACCAAAAATACAAAATGGCTCTTCCGGTTATCCCGTTAATAAATATCTCATTACATTGACCTCACAAGTACATCGAATTCTTCAGACTATAACAGCAATGTCAGCAATGATGAGCTCACCTTCTCTCAGACTTTGTCGTTTTTCTACGCTCTTCGCCGGCGTGACGCCGCGATTCTCAGGGGTGTTAGCGTCCAGTTATTCTCTGTCCTTTTRGAACCATAAATATTCAAGTTAGTTTCAATTTGGCYTTGAAATCAWGAAGAGAAAGTGGTAGTRATACCAGGGTGTGTCAATCCATGATGGCGACCGTTGCACTAGGCAAGTTTCAGTACCAGGCCCGCTCGTCTCATTCTAGAAAATACGGAAAAACTATTTATTTTTCATCTGTAGTTTACATATATTTTAAGACGCACTAAAGTTCTTAAAAACAATTAAGATTTTCGCGTATAGAGACATCCTTCCTTTCATTTTATCCATTTTTTATCCATATTTTTATTTATATTTTTTGCGCCCTGTCCATCCACTAGCCACTTTTTGCGTGGTTAGTTTGTTSTTTTTGTTCTTTTTGTTACACTTTTTGCTCAGAGTACCTAAGCTTCAAAGCTGTAACGTAAACATTCTATTTTTTTATTTATTTTCTAGAATTTATTATTTGAAATTGATTGAATGAGCCTTGTGATAAGCATTAAATTAATGAGTGAAGTAGTCGCTATTGACACAAATCTCAAAATATTTACGAAATTTWAAAAAATAAGACTTCCTTGAAATTTGAGAAGTTTCAATATTCGGATGACTTCCGTAAGAGGTCGGGTTAACGAGATTATCACGGGCTGTCAACGATTAACATACGAGCTCCATGATGCTTTTCGACGATAGGCGTGTAATATGGCGGAAAGGTTCCCTATCGAAGTTCTTAGTTTGAAGATGAAATATCGTCGTTATCAACCAACACAGGCTTAACACGACAAAACCTATAGTTTTAAGGTTTATCAGAAGTACGTTTTCTTTCCTGGTGGCGTTAATTTTGTATCTTTTTCCTTGGATTGGGAAATACAATTGCAGGGCGTTAGTTGGCCTTCGTCGAGGACTTCTCTTGTTCAATTCTCTATAGGTATGCTTTACTCGTGTAAAACGACTAATTCTAAGAGCCTAATAATTTGTGATTGAGCTTTAATGACTGATGTCTAAATTTAATATATAGTGGAGCCGTTAGAGAGGTTTTGTAGGAGCTAATTGTGGCGTAAAGTGTATTGCGTCCCGTAAACTTTGAGCTAGCTGTAATCTRAATCAGAGCATTTATATTTTTACATCGCTTCAAGATTTGAACTTTGCTTCGTTAGCAAAAGCTTTATCTGTTCCTTATTCAGATCGACATAAAGCAGCCACCTTTTAAAWGCAGTGTAATGGAACTAGTGTATAATTATGTGAGATGGAAAGTGTAGAATTCGGTACTGAAACTCGATCTCGCATTATTCAGGCCTTGTTATTATTGTTGATAACCAATATTCCCAATAAAATACTTCACTGCAGATTAARCGAAGAAGATATGMCATGAATTTCCACAAATTGCCTTGATTACAAGATGATTTCTGCGAATAACCTATTGCATTCCTGAACTAGATACCGTTTTCTGAACAACTTGAATTTGTTCATAAAACATTCAAACGTTTTGTATACAATAGAATGCTGATTTCATTGGCAGATTCCTGTATTTCGTGACTCAAAAGCAGATATTTTTTTCCTATGTTTATTCTGATGTAATTTCTAATCTTCTAGTTCAAAATTATTCTAATAAAAAGTAAATATTTGCTTTTCTAAGCAATTTCTTTATTACAACATGCAATATTATTCAAAATATGCATGTTTTTCCTGTTGAATGTTTGTTCAAAATAGGGTTTTTCAACACCTGAGCATGCAACGTTTCTGTTGTTGAAAGTCACACATTATTATAACTGTCCTAATTTTGTATAAACAATTAAATTGGTTTAATTCTACTAGCATATGCCGCTGAAGCACTGCTTTCAAGGAATGCTTTACCAGCAGGATTCTCAGTAGTAGCCAGAAGCCAGCRTATATCACCGKTTATTGCTTAGTTATCCACCAATTATATAGTTTTRTTGTGTTRTGCAGATGCAAAATCCCTTTAAGAAACGTCTATCTGCTAAAGTTCCACGATCATGTTTGCATTAAACAACATAATGTGTGCCTTTGTACCATRCAAAATCTTTCCTATTTTAGCATGCATTTATAAACAAATAATKCATTAAATTTCTGTGGCATTTTAGGTTTCTGTATTACAAGACAGATATCAAGATGGGAAGTCTTTTATCAAGGATATTTGGTGATAGAGAAATGAGAATACTCATGCTTGGATTGGATGCAGCTGGAAAGACCAGTATCCTAAACTTATTAATAASTTTTATTTATTCATTCATTATTGTGATATATACCTCAGTGATTGTCATGAAGAACTATGACCTTTTTACTTGAATATAAACAAATGCATTACAGCAGAAACCGTTGCATCGCGACTTCAATGTTCAAAGGAAATATTTAAGATTTAGGTTTTTCTGCGACTTGGGGCGGAGCTTGATACTAATCAGCCAATGATTGAACAAGTTTTCGAAAAGCTCAGCCCCTCAGATTGAAAGAAAGAACAAAATCCAGACAAACTTCAAAACAAAGAGATGCAACGATTTCCGCTGTAAAAGAAGTGAAAAAACTAAGCAAGTGATTTGATAATTTAACTATTTTTATTTTGTGTATTTTTGACAATAGTTGAATCACAACATTTGTTGAGACTCTCTCAAATTCAATCACTCCTTGACATCAATATTAGCTATATTATACAAGCTGAAGCTTGGYCAATCAGTCACGACTATTCCTACTGTTGGATTTAATGTTGAAACTGTCAAATACAAAAATATAAAATTTAATGTCTGGGTAAGTTTGTAAATAAAGTTTCAGATAAACACAGATCTCAATAATGGAACTGGAAATTAACAAAAACTATTTATTATTTGCAATACAGTAGAGTCAATGAGCTCAAGACCGGAGTCGCCACTAGACAAAACATAGTTTTTAGGTTCTCTGCAAATAGACTTAGAAAGGCAAAAGTTTTTAGTGCAATATTTTGACTTCTAAACTTAAGTTTTACCAAAGAAAAATATAGTGACATTAGTTTTTAGTGTGAAGTGTAGATATCTGACTCCTCAAACTTGTCCAGTTTCTCTTTAAAACTTTAGAATTTCTTTGTTTTTTTCTTATCAAGCGATAAGCATGATTATAATTGGTTGAATTAATTTGTGCTAATGATAATTATGGGGATTWMTCTTTTAGGATGTKGGAGGACAGGACAAGATTCGGCCATTATGGCGGCACTACTACACYGGRACACAAGGGCTTATTTTTGTTGTAGATTCTGCAGATAGAGAAAGAATTGATGAAGCAAGGCAGGAATTACATAAGATCATCCTTGACAAAGAAATGCAYAATTGCATTTTATTAGTGTTTGCTAATAAAATGGATTTACCAGATGGTAGGTTTTTCACATAATTTTGATTAGTTCCTTACTCGACTTTGAAAATGACTACCGCAGAGGTTGTYGAAACATCAKTCACATCAAATAGTTCTTCTCGGTACTGCAACATCCRCCCAGATGAACATATAGACCATTTTCATAAGTGCCTACCATYGATTTTATGMAATTTATAATATTATGGAAACATTCAACACTGTCATATGGAAGACCTATTAGAAATAGGTATTCATGGAAAGTTTTAAAGCCATGGACTAAATACTAACAAAGTTATCGAGGAATGAAAATACAGAGATTTGTATGGAAATCTTTGCTAGTRACTGGGTAGCCTCGTTTCAGTGTTCTSATACCTCTTCTAACCCTTATAACTTCAACAGGATTTAATATTTTTCTGTGAAACTTGCAGAGTTTATCTTTGTTCCTTATYGTTGGATTAGAAACAGGACAWCCCTTCCTCCCATGTCTAATACACCCTATGCACATATAGACCCCTTGCAATTCTTGGAAATGCAGCTCTAACTGGAGAACTAATCAATGGATTCTACATGTAGTTCCCAAGYRGGCAARAAAATTTTGTTTTGTACTCCAGATAAAGCARCTTTAATATCACTTGCAAGGGGTCTTCATAACATCTTGTTTGCCAATTAATGATATCTTTTATGACATTCAATGCTTACTGGATGATTTTCATTTTTACATAGCACTGAAACCCAATGAAGTGGAAGAGAGAATGCATCTTTCAAAATTGCGAGACAAAAAGTGGTATGTTCAGCCAATTTGTGGCACTACAGGAGACGGCCTCTATGAAGGTCTAACATGGCTCAACAATAACCATAAATCTTAATAAAGCTGATGAGTCCTGAATGAAAAACATTACAGTTGACAATTTTGAACACAACAAGAAAGACTAGAGTGCATTGTGAATGGACTGAAGACAAAGAACTTCATTTTTACAGTGAGGCCGGAATTCCTTTTATAGCAAATGTGTATAGAACAGCTTGTTCTTAAAAATAATGTAGAGGGTACAATAATAGCTGCTTTGTTGGTTGATATGCACAAATAAGTCACGATGTACGTACCTTTCACTTAGTGGCCTAGCAAATAACTGCCTTTAGGGGTCTTAAAGGAGGGTGTGGTATAGAAAACTGAGGTAAAATGCCCTAATCCTCTTTTAAGACCTCTTAAAGAAAGTTCATAGAAATGAAAAGAGCACCTCATAAGCTTCAGGATTTGGGCAACAAATGAGATAAAAGTGTTAAAACATATTGTCTAGTACTGGTTATGTTTTTTACCAGAATTATAGAAAATTATTTGAAATATGAATTGGTAAGTAAAAGAGTTTTGTAGTGCATTTTATTATTGTAAAGGATAATCACGTTTGAAATGCTCTTTTCATTTCTTTGACTTTAGTTGCTAGACTTCATAGGGATAAGGCTTCATTGCGTGCAAATACTCTATTGTACAGTTCCCAGCACCATCTTGATACCTGTGAATATCCATCAATGCAGGCTTGACTACTAACACTTTGATGCCAAAACACAACYATCTATCAAGAAGGCACTGGATTGAATTGTACAATATAGAATTTTCAATTCACTGCATAATAAATCACAAAAACCAGTCAATGATTATTATATATTATATATAAGAACCGAATGTTACTGATTCATCGCTGGCCCTCCTTTTAAGTTTCACTAAAATAGTTTGTTTTTTCAATTTTGTATAAATTGTTCAATTCGTGTAATATTATTAATATGTAATTGTGAGTTCATCCTGAAATTGCTAGTATGTAGTTTGCTTTTTTTTTTGTCTAGACTTAGAGTGAAAACAAGTCAGTTCCACTATAAGCTCAATATAAGCTTCATGTTCATGGCATTATTTTTTCAGTGGAGAATGTAGCTATTGTAAGTTACTTTCTTTCATGTGTAGATGCTTGCAAGAAGAAACATGTCTGATTAAATCCTCATTTCTCCTAACATATTATATTGAGAATTTGTAGTACAATCATGTACAAGTGTCATCTTTGTAGTTGATTAAAGTCTCTATTCTCCCAACATACTGTTATCTTTGTGTTTCATAAGAATGTATTCAAACTGTTGAATGTGTGTCAGTCAAACAGCTCTTAAATATGAGTGTATTCTTGATAATAAGAACATCAATACAATTTGAAATTAATATTAATTTACTTTGCAAATATGGATTCTCTATAACAGTTTTCTTTTTCATTTATATATTTGTTAACTTTTTTGCTCTCAGTGGAGGGTCTTACAAGAAATATATATGTAAAGAAAGTCTCTTTTAAAATAACAATCTTGTTGAGCATTCATTTTTGACACAGGTCTATTCAAGAGAATAATAATTATTATAAACATTTTTTTTCTTGATTATCTTTCATAATGTTTTTTTAATGTCTTAATATATAAAATAATTATTTGTGATATGTGATAATATATTGCACTCAAAGATCTTTCAAAATGATCTTTACCTTTCATCCTTCACCAAAATCATTCAATGGTATGCATTCAATCGATCATAGCATMCCCTTCCCCAAATCCATGTTATTCATCATTCATTGGTTGTGTTGTGGCTATCACTCCTGCYGGCCTTCTTATGACAATTAATATGCACTTCTAACTGACTAGCACGGATAAATGACCTACTACAAACAAAGCACTTATATGGCTTGTCTTCAGTGTGCGTCAGCTTGTGTCGTGTCAGAACAAACTGTCTTGCAAAAGCTTTYCCRCACACATCACACTTAAAGTCTCTGCTGCCACGGTGRAGCACTAAATGYCKTGATAAACCTGTGTGTTGTGTAAARGTCTTGTTRCATTCAGGRCATTGAAATGGTTTGACACCRGAGTGAGTTAATAAATGCCTGGATACATTATATGCCTGTTGGTAGGTTTTGCTGCAAAGTGGGCAATGATAGGGTCCTTTTGTGGGCATTGCTCGACCTTTTCTTTGCTCATGRAGTTTTAAATGCCTTATCAATGACTCRGATCTGGTGAATGTCATATTGCAAAAATTACATTGATGAAAATCATCTTTGCYGTGTGCTGATTTTGTATGCCGAGACAAGTGGGAAGGCTGCTTGTATGCCTTGCCACAAATGTGACAAAGATATCTGTCAGAAATATCTTCAAGATCTTGGTTTCGACTTTCTAAAACATCCTTCATTTCATCATTCTCTTCAGATAGCTTCTTGCAAATCACATTTTCTACTACTTTCAGTGAATCATCAAATTCCTCTGCAATCAAATCCTTATCACTGACCAAAACAACTTGRTAGTTATTCCCATTTTCATCCTCTTTATTCCTATTTTCTATTTTCCCACTTTCATCTCTTTTCCCATTTTCATCTCCCACTTGTTCATTTTTACATATARCCCCAAGTTGTTCTTGATGGTTGTCCATTGATTTGARGTGAAAGTTTTCATATTCAATCTCAGATCCAAGGCTGCTTCCTTCAATGGACTGATCTTTTGATGGAAAACTTTGAACATGAACATCTTCCAATTCAAAACTCTTTTCATTAATGATAACAACGGTTTTGCTGTCTTTATAATCAATATTTTTTCCTTTTGTTTCGTTATTTTTGTCTTGCTTCCAATCGTTTTCCATTGCYTTTACTATATACTATAATCTAGGAGAAATCAAAATGCAAAATTCAATTATTTTAATTAATTTACTAGACAACAATTGTAGCTTGTTTATTCATTTGACGCATTCATGCAKRWAAGTAAAATCCCACATCTGACACCATATCAATATTTTAGCGCAAACTCTAGGCTCTGAAACTTGTTGATTGTCATCGATGCATTTATAGTTGAAGTTCTAAGGCACTTCACTTCATCAGCAAAACTCTTCAAATGAAATGGAAATTACAAGCGACATACCAATGAGGTACGATGGAGGCCGCGACGGAAACTTTCATGATCATCGATCCATTATAATACTTAATTTTTTTGGAGAATTCATCATACATGACTTAAGATTGGTCGATCTACTGCAACATAATAAAGAATTCTGTGCGCGCTTTAAATCTACTATTTAAAGTACTTTGATTCTCGTGACTGCGGTATTGATTTCCGCGAACAAGCGGTGAGCAAATAATCTCCATTCTAGAGAAACAAATTTACTRACTTGAGACGAAAAATTCAATTTTCTACAGTTTTAACAAGCTGTATCAACTAAGGAATTGGTCTGACAATAACGACAGTAAGTTCGCCTTGAAGTGCAAGCTGAAAGAACTACGACAAAACAACATACCTTCCATCAACTTGGAGAGATATCAAATCCCGAAATAAATACCGCTACATGATATGCTACACAGGGTTCCCGTGTACTTAAAGTCTAAAGGAAATTACGATGTAGTTTTTTTCTTAAAATTATTTTTGGAGGACATAACGTTTTGCCCACCTTGTTTGCAATCCATCGATCAGAACTATTATTGAATGGAACATTAAGAGGGGGATGCATAGAGGGGGTGTAGGGAGGTGGGGGTGTAAGCTCMATAACCCCCAGTTCCTTGGCAGACCAAGTATAAGATGTATGAGACTTCATTTGCCAAAATAGRGTAACACATTTTTTAACAGTCCAACAGTTTGTCTGCTGTGAATTCAAAACAATATATTCACCCATTTCCCTACTKCCAAATTAAACTTAAACATAGTACATTTGACTAGCTTTAATTTTAAAACTACWAAGTGAAAACAGATATTAAAGTGAGTTTTTACAAGAGTTATTAACGAGCAAAAGGGTTTAGGGGATTAGCGGCTGGAATGTTCTTTGGTCGTTGTGGYACAAGACCAGGTGGCATTAGTGGTTGTGGAGGTTTGCGATGTTGCTGTTGCTGYGACTGTATCTGTTGTGGTGTRAGTCTGAAGTGGAACTGTAAATAAAACTGAAAAGAAAAAAACATGTTAAAATCAACAAATAAATGAGACACRGCAAAAAAGAGAAGGAATTTTGGCATGAAGAATCAAGAAATGCCATGAATGAGAAAAGAGAAGTAAAATAAACCATTTATGGGAATAAATAAACAAAATAAACAAAATATAAACAAAATATAAAGGACATGACTGCCAATATTGGGGGACTAGTGACGAATAATGGAATCGAGACCTCAAAGGCCTTACATGTAAAAAACATGATATAAATTGAACGTATAGCAGTGTCCAAAAGTTTGAAAGATGTATTGGTATATGTTATCTATGGCAAAACATCTTGTAAAACACCATAGAAGCTTAATATACGGAGGCTGGCATTTGAGACCTCGTTTTAGTGCTTCGTCCCCAGTGCCCTGGTGGGCGACCGTGACATATCGCACCATTTTTGAAAGTCGTGAATTAGACAAAATTATTCAGCTTCTAACGAATAAAAGTAGACAATAATGGATTCCCATAAAAGCGTACCTGTTTTGTTTCTCTATTCCATTGTGTCCAAAATCTTCCTTCATCTTTATCAATTTCTCTACTTGGTATCTTTAACAGGGCAAATTAACTCAATCAACAATAAAATATAAACATAGAAACCTTCATAAATGTACAAAAGAAATGAAAAAGAGACTGCCATCCTCAAGAACCTATATATAATAAGATAAAATAAATAAAATATAAAAAAATCCTTCAAAAAACTAGGAATAAATGTAATCTTGTAATCTGAACATTTATATTAGGTTTTTCCTTGATCAATTTTCAACTTTTAATATATATAATATATTTTGCTGAAGAAGGCCGAAGTGCCGAAACGTTCTAATAAAGAGTAGAAATACTAGTTGCAAGTTGTGTGCCTTTTTCTTCAATTTATTCAATTTATATATTTTATTACCTATATAGTTCTTAATTTTAATTTTGCACCATATTGTAAAGCGCTACTGAATATTAATATTAATAAATTATTATTATTATTGTTCACTCCTCATTCCCAGTATTTTTTCTTGGAGTTAGGAATGAACAACAGGCCATTACGCCTGGGTTCCTGAGGATGAAAAGACAGCTGCTTATAAACAGTAATCTCACCTTAAATGAAATAGTTTCATAAGGTTCAGCTGCAAGTAGTAAATACTGCCAGGACTTGTCTGGTGGCTCTATTCTTTGCTCGTAGGCTGACATAAACCTGTGTCTTGGTGTCACTCCTTCTGCTATTTCAGGATAATCAATCTGAAATTTAAAACAGTGACATAATTCAACAATAATCGTCATGATGATTTAGCTGTTTTAATATTTTATATGTTTTGCTGTTTTTGTTGATACTACTGTTGTTATTATTGTTGTTGTTGCTTTTGATGGGTTCTTTTTTGTTTTGGTTTTCCTACCTGGAAAAGTAGACTATGCTGGCCATTATCTGGATCTCTTTGCTTTGTAACTGGAAAAYATATTAATATTATAGCTRAAACTAYTGACRTATAAGGTGCTAACTGTGTTAAAATAGTGTTTGCATTAACATTGCACACCTTTATAACCAGGACGGCCAATTTTAACAAACTTCTTCAAGGATACCCTTGGTTTTTCCTGTTTAGGAAAATATACCATCATGTAGTCATTCATAATTTGAAATTAAACCAACTGTAATATTTATGTGCTATGGGTAGTTGTTCAAAGTCAAGGTTAACTTACTAAAGCTGGTTGGGCAGGAGCATCTTTAGCTTCTTTTGCAGCACGACGGGCCCTAACAAACAAATCATACTATATTGAAACAAATAACATCACATAACCAACAACATATGTCTATAAAGTAAAGACCAATTCAGCTCTCCGCCATGTACTACTTCTACGTGCCTTTACACATAAAACTCTACAAAGTTACTCAAGACAGAAATCTGATATCTGTAGAATGAAGCGGACGGAAAGGATCTTTAGCTTAAAAATCCAAATAACAAAAAACTGACAGAACTGGGAATAAAATAGAGATAGAGATTCTAACCATCCTTTTCTCCCAAATTAAATAGTAATAACAATTAAATAAGTATAAGTAAGATATAATATTACTTTAACAAATACTTACAAGTTTGACTGATGTTTCTTTCCTTGTGTATGTGCCAGATAGCTTCCCTAAACGAAAATAACATTTTATATGTATTGTATGTCATCATACCACAGGTAGCCCATTCAAGTGGCCAGAACACTTACCTCATTATTATGCAAAGTTAAACACAGTTTACATTCATAAGATCCAAGATGGTTTTTCATAAAATATGGATCCTGAAAATTAAAATCAACTGGAGGTAAGTTAAGCTCATTAATTAAAAAAAAAATCTTCAAACTTTAGAATCGCCAGCCAAAAACTTGCTGTGATATTTCAAAACATGATATTTCTTTGCACTTTAGGTATCATGAAAAGTTTTTCTCAATTAGAACTATTACTTCCTATATATTCACAAGAATTATCATTGTAAAACCAAAGTTTATGCCTATAAACTATTCGCAAACCTTGTTCAGATCGATCGTTTCCAAAGCCAATTGCCTCAACCTTTCTCTACGATCTCTGTTCGATTCCGAAGCAGAAGCAACTCCACCAGATCCTGTCTTTCCACCAGCTCTGTGYTGAAAGTCCATCTTGAATTATTTGTGAATTTTTGTGTCAAAATTCTTTGCTCTTTCGAACCTGCAACGTGATTTTCAATATGGCTGCCGCATCCCTTCCCATGATGCAGCACTAGTCACCATTCCTTTGCGTGTACAACACAACAGGAAGCCCAAGTCTTTAACTTTTAAGGATTACGTAACTGTTTGTTTTTATTCTGACGATTATGCATACTGATAATCGAAAAATTCTAAAATGACAAAGATTTGTTTAAAAAAGTCATCACTTTAATACAATACTTTATTATTGGTACTTGAATATAATATTTCTACATGAGTAAATTACTCCAATAATTTTAATAACATGTATAAATTTGTATAAATTTTAATTGAAAATGTATTATCGGTAACGAGGTAACTACAATAGAGCTCAGTCACGCATCACGCATCAGTTAACACGGCYGGGTTYCTGAATAACTTCTTTTTCGTAATATAATATCATGGCTGAWCTAATAATACACGGAGGCTCGATTGTTACAATGGATGAAGGAAATACCGCAAAGRTCGAGGCAATTGCAATCAAGYATGGACGTRTACTGGCAATAGGRATCAAGGAGCAAGTGTTCGACCATGCGAACGAAKACACTGAATATGTTCAGCTAAATGGAAACCAAACGCTCCTTCCCGGATTTATTGAACCTCACCAACATGCCATYCAACAAATGTTGATAAAATGCTTATATACAACATGCAGYGCGTACTATTATCACTCGTATAGCGAGATTAGMGCACTGTTTGAGTCAACGATAGCTGCAGTGGACCATAGCAGTCAACAATGGTGTATATTTTTTGGATGGGACCCTGAAATACTGACCGATCTACCAAGGCTAAGCATGGATATCCTGGATAACTAYTCAAAAGTTAYTCCGATCGTWGTCATAGGCCAGAATGGCCACGTCGGCTGGGCAAATAGCAAAGCCTTCGAGCTTGCCGGTGTCACRRAAGATGTTGTAGACCCTGCGGGTGGTAKCTTCGTGCGAGACCCTGMAACGGGGAAGCTGACTGGTAAAATGCTTGARGTGCCACCTCTCCGCATGGTCCTCCCRTCACAACCTCCAGGRTTAAGCGTKGAAAACATAACCTTAGCTTTCAATCAGCAGTGGAATGAGTATGCTAGTGCTGGTTTCACAACTGTTACCGACCTGCTCTACATGCCCAACAAGCTATTAGATCCATTGCTAATAAAAAAGTGCCACAGCTCTGAYTGTCCCATCCGCTTRGCACTTTATCAAAGAGACGTTCCAAACATTGATGAAAAGTGTGATTCACTCCAAGAGAATGACAAGCTCTGGATAGCAGGTGTGAAGCTCATGGCAGACGGTTCTCCGCACTGTGGAACAGCAGCGGTAAAAGAGGAATATCGATGCAGTGAATTAACTGATCTTCTCTCCTTCCCTGCCGCACCGAATTATGGTAAATTAAACTATAGCAGGAAAGATCTCCTCGAGAGGGTTCGCTTCTGGCACAGCAARGGAGAACAGATYGCTATACATGCMCATGGCGAAGCTGCCATTGAACAAGCCCTGGATGTCTTGGAGGAGGTGGTTTGACTATATACCAGTTGTAATTAATAATCACTGCGATAACATCATAGTAGCTTCTCTGCTCTACACATTAACGGTGATTCACCCTTACTTGCAGGTCGAGTATATAGGGCGCACCTCTATMGGGTTTAAGGTATCCAAAGGCAGGCGTAGCTTGCGCGTACATGCGCCCGTTTAAAAACTGGACGAACTCAGTCCGTAAGGCAGGCGATTCGCATAACAGAAACCAAACGACACTCTAGCGCTAAGAATAGCTAATATTGCAACCGCTTTGCAAAGAAGGGAAGTGTCTTTTATTATCCAACTGAAAAAGGTCTGGAAATATCGGTGACTGAATTGAATGGGCTCCGCATTTTTTTAATTTGTCAAATATAGTAGTTGACATGTAGCTCACTCAGTCTTCGACGGAAGTTTGTCACTTTCGCGCTAGAAGTGCTTCCGTTACTGAATGAAATGATGCAGCGCAGCTTGTAGCTTGTTAATTCTGTCTGTCAATTTAACAACCAGTTTATTCCTTTAAAAGGTCCAGTTCAACSAACTCAACAAAGGTCTTTGCCATCGTCTTGAACATCTTGGTCTGTGCGAAGAAAAACACATCGMAAAAGCTKCCAAGYTGGGTATCTCTTTATCATTCTTTGTACAGCATCTATACTTCTACGCTACTTCGTTTAAAAACATTCTTGGACTAGAACGAACCAATCGCTGGGCGCCTTTAAGCTTGGCCGTTAAACATAATGCACTGTGGACATTGCACCAGGACCACCCTACCTTTCCAGGTCCTCCCGAGCCATTTGCCAACTTAATGACTGCAATCACACGCACAGAAAGATACAAACCAGAGACGGTATATGGACCTCARTACTGCATTTCCATTGAAGATGCTTTGAAGGGCTATACCATCAACGCAGCCAAGCAGATTSAMATGGACAAAGAACTTGGTAGTCTGACTGTTGGTAAACGAGCTGATCTGGTCGTTCTYAGTGATAACCCATTRAAAGTAGATCCATTTAAGCTTGTAGATATTAAAGTCTTGGATACGTACTTGGATGGACGTAGYAACGGACTGACTGCAAGRAAGGAATCAAGAAAGAACGGGAAATTAGTTTATACATACAATTAAAGACGTTTTTTGGAATTATATTACGTGTAGAGTGACGAAATGAATAAACATATCATTTTTGAAAGCAGAAAAG